GCACAAGAACATCCATACTTGCTGATAGTACCCATTTGACCTAGCCTCGATATCTTGAGAATCAGAACTCAACTAGAGGAAGATTATTTTTTTAAACCCACAATTTTTGATAAAGGAAATGATGGTAAATTGCTACAATTTGATGAACTTGACCTATGCTCATGGAGGTAATAACTCTAAATCCCAAAAGAGAGCAAAGGAATCTTCACATCAAATATCAATCCTCTGTATGCAGGGTAGATAGGGATGGTCAACCTAGACATTGGCTACCTAAAATGAGGGGGTGATAAAGGCATGAAGTGACTGGCTTACAATGTTTCAAGAGGGAGTTTAAGAGTGTGTGGGCGAAGATAGAGTCCCCACTGAATAGTTTTCATCTTGTCTAGAAGGGTCTGATAAAAAGAGATAGACATAAGATTCTTATGATTCAATAGTGAGTAATTGTTATCATGACTAATGGTAACTGTCATAGTTGTAAAGGTAGAAGTTTTGTAACAAAAACAGGTGAGTAGTTAATCTTACAGTCCAGAAACAGAGGACCCTAGGACCATCAAGAGAGAAAAGCACAAGTGGAATGCGGGACCTTATCCAGAGAAGCAGCAACACCAGAGATGGAGGCAGAGATGGGGACTCTGGATTCATGGAAAGAGAGAGACTGAGAGCTGGCTACCAGGAGGCAGACTTGCAGAATGTGCCCTTTGGTGGTGTAAATTATCATATATGCCTAAGTGTTAATTTTAAAAAAAGAAAAACAACTAAAGTGAATAGAGAGAAATACGGTAACTGATGGTACATGGAGGGGATTATAATCATTTTAATGAAATGAGGTATACAGTTTGTTGAATGTAAAACTGATGATATGCCCTGTAAACTTTCACTCAACTCACAATAAAAACTTTTTTAAAAAGTACTTTTGGGATTGCCCTAAATAAAATTTGTTTTTATTCTTGTTTTCAGGATCTAACTGGCATAGAATCTATGGATCAATGTCGCCATACCTTGGAACAGCATAACTGGAACATAGAGGTATACGAGCTTATTTTTTTCTCCCTGGCCTGATGAATAAAAAAAGTCATGTATCTTTTCATAAAATAATCATTTTCTTCAATAGATTTTCCCCCCAAAATTATCTGCTTCACTTTTAAAACAAAAAGTGTCATTAAGGCAGAGAATGTAATAGAAGTTTATAAAGTTGTAGAAAAGATTGTTGTTGTTGTCAGGTGCCATCAAGTCGGAACCGACTCATAGCGACCCCATGCACAGCAGAATGAAACAATGTCCGATCCTGGGCCAACCTCACT